TATAGTGTATGACATCAATTGCTATCCCCGAAAAAAATGTGTACATTATATCTGTTTTAATGCATTATTTAATGCAATTTTGGGAGATATAGTATACTTTATTTTGGTTAATGAATTAATTAATTCAAATTTTGTGAACTTCACTGTATGTGTGTTACATAATAAGTAAGTCTTCACAATAAAACAGAGATTTGTATTTTTTAATACACTATTCATGACATTAACGAAATATTTTGAGCGGAAATGAAATATTATTTAGCGTTTTGTTTGCCATAAAAGTTAAAAAACACAATAAATTATCCACACGTTTGAAAAATATTAATATAATGTTATATATTATACACACAAACAAAAAACAATCATATTTTTTGTCAATTGTTTTCTTGAAAAAAGTTTCAAAAAACAAATTTCAATAAAATGACAGGTATTTTAGGGTTGGGTTCGCTTTTAAAAACTTAAATAAAATGTATATAAATTTTAATATAAAATGTATATAAAATGTTTATAAAAATTTGCCATTTATTGAGAGATATAATCATTTAAATAATTTTAATGCTATTTATAAAATTTGTACTAAAATTGCATTCAATTTTAATTATATCGACAAATTTCTGAAGCCTTTAACATACTTATGGACTAATCTTTATAAATGAATTAAAATTCATATAAATTTTAATTAATTATTATCTAAATTCCCGATAAGTTATAATATGGTGTCAATTATTGGCCACAAACTAACGCCTCCCTCACACCCGCCCGATAGGTATCCCTTACACTGTATTCTCGCTATTATTAACCAAATTATAAAATTTATACACTTTTTATTAGTTATTTATTTGCCGATTAAAACATAATGTTAAAAAAAATGTAATTTTATTTTATTACACCATTTAATCGCTAAAATCATTACATAATTTGAACGGTAATTAAATTCCTGCGAAATTTAATTAATAAACAAATAATAGTAATAAAAATAAAACTAATTAATAATAAAATAGAAATAAAAGCAATGTTTTAAAATGTTTTTTCACGCATTTTTAGCAACAAAATTGAGTTCAAAATTAAATTTAAAATTCATTTGAAAAAAATGCCAGCAATTAATGCCAAATAATTATAACCAACAAAAAATAGGTTTCAAACAAAATCAACAATTTATTCAACAATTAGAAAAAACTTTGTGCTTAAAACTCATATAATTTATTATTATTAAAATTATTAATAACTTAAATAACCGTTTAATTGAGTGAATTAAATGATTGCATATAAAATTATTAAACCAAATGAGTTTAAACAACATATTTTAAATCATGTTGTTTTTTGTTGTTTGCAAAAGTATTTTCTTCGGGGTATAAAATCGTGTTAAAAAATCATGAAATGTTGCAAATATTATAATAAAAGAATATATAAATAATTGATGTTTCCATCAAATCAATAGTGGATTTGTGTTCACTTTTAGTGTACTCTCAATATAATGAAGTTTTAATGTGTTTTGAAACATAAATTCTTACAACTTTATACAATGTATGCAAAAAACATGAAAATTGTATTAAATATTAAATCAAAAAATTATTAGAAATAAAAAGAGAGAGAGAGAGAGAGAGAGAGAGAGAGAGAGTCTGAATGTGTTTTAAATTGTGTGCAAAGAATTTAACCAAGAAGAAAACAAAACTATTTGAATCTAATTTATTATAACAGAGAAACAAAAGTAAAATTACAGTAAAAATAACAATAAAAATGAAAACTCAAAAAGAATTCAAAACAAAAATTTAATTAATTTTCAAAATTCATAGACAGTATAATACACTATACGATACGACAAATGTATCTGTTATTCACTGCACACATACGGGTATTAATGAACAAAAATAAATTGTTTTAATCATAATAATAATAATCGTAGAAATTATCCAAAAATAAAATCACATATAATTCAAACGTTAAAATTGAATCCCAGGCACCAAAACATAAGAATTTAATTTCAGGATTTGTTATTCATTTGAATTTAACTCATATATTATTGTCAGTTAGAGAGAGAGAGAGAGAGAGAGAGAGAGAGAGAATTTTGGTGGTCTCGTAGTGAAAGGTCATATTAATTTAACCCACATAGAAATATTTTGCAATTTGCTTTTACCATAGTTTAAATTCATGTATAAATTATTTCTCGTAAGATCTCTAAAAATTCAAACAAACTTCTATTTGTATCCAAACATTAATTTTGAATTGTGTTTATATTTATACTATAAATACAAAGTAAAAATATTTAATGATTGTGTAAATACGGGACAATATTTAGGTACAACTTATAAGGACTTTGTAAATACTTTGTAAAAATTATTTATTTAAAACTATTTTTAATTCCTTGTTCTCTCTCTCTCTCTCTCTCTCTCTCTCTCTCTATTGTAAATTATAATGTTATCTGAAACTAATTATATATAAATCTCATTTCGGATTTATATATTTAATATGCAAATACCATATGAATACAAAACTCAAACCTCATATTTATTACGGCTATAAATAAACTTTATTGAAAATTTTATTTTTCCTGCTCTGGACTTAATCTCCAATTTTATAATCATTTCCAATGAAATATATTGTGATATTTATGTCACATCTCAGTTGTCAGACACTGTATTAATAAGGGAATGGGAGGCACAGGTCTCGACCCGTCGACCCCCACAAACCATTGACTACACCTGTAGTAGCAGTCGACGGCATACCTGTCCCCTCAAAACATGAGTGAATCGGAAATAGGTTTCAAAATGAAATCAATTTCAATGCATGAAAATTGGTTTTCAATTCAGTCACTGATAGAGAGAAAAAACATTTGAATACATAAATAATATCAATAATTTATGAGTCCTATCGAGAAAAACACATCAATTTTACAAAAGTTTTTTGCATTCATTTTATATATAAAACATTCAAAACTTATGCAGTTTTGTAGTATTTTATGAGATATACAGTAAAGCACTCGATATAGTGAACAATTCAATATAAATCAACTAAACTAACATGTAGTAAATTGTGTTACTGTGGTCATAATTCAAAAGTTTAGGTTAGGTGTAGCTAATTAAACGTTATGAATTTATAATAATAATTTCTATAAATCATATAAATGAAAGGATATTACCAAATAAAATGAGTACATTATTGGACAATAAGTTTTACTATATTATATCAAAAGTGTGTCGACTGTATGTTATGGTAAAAATATGTATATTTCTAAATATACTGTATATTATATAATGATATAAATCGGTGTTCACTCCTATGATGCGGAACTGACAGTTCAATAAAAATCAGTGCTCTCTCTCTCTCTCTCTCTCTCTCTCTCTCTTTGAGATGTATTTTTCGACAATTTAATAGATTACCCAAAAAATAACACTAATTTCAATGTTATTTTCTATCGTTTCGCACAGAATATTATATATAAATAAATTCATGATTTTTCAATTACTGTTCACTAGTTTTGATTTATCCGTCACTAAACAAAACAACAGAATCTTATTATTAGTTTTTATATGTATTTCTTATTCAATACATGTACTGAACATTTGGTGAATAACAATACAAAATCCAATTGAATATTGAATTGAAAGTATATAAAAATAAGTGAATACTAATTGTGTTCACTCATGTATGGCTCTCTCTCTCTCTCTCTCTCTCTCTCTCTCTCTCAGATCTGATGACAATTTCACTCATAAAAACATTATTCAATCGTCGGAATTGTGGTCCGAAAAACGAAATACACAACAAGTTATGACTTAAATAACATTTTTAATTTCGCTGTAGTTTATAGTATACACTAAAAATCATTTTAACAAAAAGTTTTATTTACTTTAAATTTGTTTTTTGTCCTTAAAAAACATCGGCCATTGAATACCAAATGAGATTTTTTACACTCACAATAATGCCATTAAAAAATAAAGTGTACATACATTTGATTTATGGCATCACATAAAGTGATCATTAAATTAAGTTTTTAATTTTATTTTCTTGCATATAAATCGTGTGAATATATCACTAATCAAACAAATATAAAGCGATTAAAACTTTTGATTTTAATTATTACCACGTTTTCTGAACGATACGTGAATTTAATAATATTAGGAATTTGTATGAAAATAAACAATTTAACAAATCATACAGTTATATACAATATAATCTAATAACTTATAATCAATAATCAATAGGGAATAGACGTGGTAATTATTTATAGCTAAATTTATGATGTGCGTTTTTAGTTTTTTAAGTCTACCATTATAATTGTTTCTAGCTGACAGAGAAACTAAGAGTGTGCTAAAACTACAATTTTAAAATGTCTTTTATATACACTTATACTGCATATAAAGTATACCTAATATATACCTAACAGGTATACCCCGAGAGGCACAGGCATACTGTAGGCCCCAGTAGTGTATAATAATGTTTATGACAATTGGTTACAGTCCACTAATTTTTACGACTACGCAATTTTGAACCAAACATATAAAGCAACTCAATAATAATAAATAATAATGATAAAATCAAAAAGATTGTTTTGTTTTTTCTGCTCTCTTCCTGATAGACAACAAAAGTATTTTTTTCAGTGATTTTTGTTATATTTATTGATTACTAGACGATGTTATTTAAATTTTTGCCCATATTTTTTTACAAGTATATGTAATATCGGGTGATATTTTTGCCCATGATAATTTATTGTTTATCAAAATATTTTGTTAATTACTTTCAATTCAATATTCAATTGAATTTTGTACTGTATTTACCAAATATATTTTTTACAAGTATATGTAATATCGGGTGATATTTTTGCCCATGATAATTTATTGTTTATCAAAATATTTTGTTAATTACTTTCAATTCAATATTCAATTGAATTTTGTACTGTATTTACCAAATGTTTAGTACGTCTATTGAATAAGAAATAGATTTAAATATTTAAAAAATAATAATAAAATTGTATTGTTTTGTTTAGTTTGGGATAATCCCAAGTAGTGATGGCTATACCCACGGCGGGGGCGGGTCTGGGATATACACCACTACTACACGCGGCCGCCGACGGAGACGTGGAGGCCGTGAAGGCCTTACTCAAGAGCAAAGCCGCGGTCGACGCCCAGGACGATGTGGTGAGTGTCACTATACTGTACTATATCACTATACTGTAATACAGCAATGGTAACAAATACGTTTTTCCCATAAAAAATGTTTTGAGCTAATCATTACAAACGTTATAATGATTAATTAAATATAGTGCCCTTGAATTGAATGCATACCCATCTTATTCACCCCTTCCTTTACATTACTATATAGATATAACACTATATATGAGTGGTTGCATTCTATATAATCACATTTGGCACTTTTTTGGCACTTTCGCCCGTTTCTGCTGTAATATTTACATACATGTGCTGTCCATATCTCATCCATGTCTATCCATTAGCACACTAGATATTTTTAACCATCATTCATTAACCAATCAGTCAACTTATTATATAAATTGTAAATAAATTATTTTTATCGTTATCTAACAGGCTATCTCTATTTGCCCTAATGTAATATAATGTACTAATACGGTATATAACAGTGAATTTCGGTTATAATAATAGCCCTTAATTGGGTAGAAAACTGATTTTGTTGTTTGATTTCAGATATTAAATATATATTTTAATGTTTTGTTTTATTATTACAAACAAAACAAAATTTAAGACAATATTTACATACATTATAAAAGTATTAGGAAAAATATATTTATAAAACTAGACTGAAGTATATAATGGGTTATAACACACATAAAAAATACCTAATGATTATTACACAGCAATCAATTTAATTACGGTAAAAATACAAACACGATTATAACCGAGTCATGAATTATATTGTATAAAATTTTTATATAAAATATTCCCACTATTTATAGATAGGTAAACAGTTTTGATATTTTATTTTGCCCACTGTCAATTAAACGGCAATTAAAATTTGTTGTGCTTATTATATAAATGTCTGTACCATTAACTTATATTTGTAAAATATTTTGTATTTATCATGTTTTATTATTTTTTACTTCATATGAATAGCATTATAACACTGCATTACACGAGGCTTCCTGGAAGGGCTACAGTCAGACCATTGAGAATCTATGTAAAAACAATGCCAACCCATACATCAAGAATAAGGTAACTGTGCTATAGATTGTCATCTAAACTATCATCATCATTTTTTATCCCCATTGTGTTCACTATTGTCACATATTTAGTGAATAAAATTGTACACAAAAAAGCAAACAAATAAATTCATAATGGACATTTTTCTATTAACCGATTTTTGTCCGTACATTACATACACAGGTCTTATGCGTTAATATAATGGGAGACATAATTATAAATAAAAAAAGCAAATACAATGAGAATAACAGATAATATATCATCATATCATTCACAACAAGACATTTGCGACAAAAAAACTTTTGTGTTTAGCCTTTCATTCAATACATAGGTATTCAATAGCAAAGTAGTCGTCTCCCAAACCGTGTATATTTGGTGTGCATTTAATTACAATTGAAATGTTTGTATGCATTCACATGAGACCAGTCTTTTATATACAAAGTTATATAACTTTTTTTCTCTGTCCCCTAATTAGAGATCCCTATTATATGGGCATTCATTTCGGTTATAGACAGTAGAGCTAACAGATCTGCCCATAGATTAGTGTTCATTAAAATTGTTGATTACGTTGAGATCAGACATGTGTGTCCACCGACAGACCCCACCATCCCATACACACATCACTCCTTTGAATACCTGTCCCACCATTTTATGTCATTATTCAAGCGATAATAAGATTTTCAAAATGTGTTTGCATTTTTAACCCAATCTCTCTCTCTCTCTCTCTCTCTCTCTCTCTCTCTCTGTATATATTTAAACGGCTGAGAAACCCATTGAATGCCTAAATAAATGTTGCTAATAAAGTCAGTTATTGCCCCCAACACTGCACTCTAGTCTCCAAAGCCAACATCCCATACCATCGCACGTCTCCATCACCTGTCAGAGCACTCCTGTAACCCATCACTCGCTTGGGAATTACTATTTAACTGAAGAATATATACATTTGAATTGATAGATACAGAAGAGAGAGAGAGAGAGAGAGAGAGAGAGAGAGAGAGAGAGATTGTATGTTAGGAAACATAACAATAAACTTAGAAATTTAAAATGTGGAACAAATTATACTAAACAATAGGCTGAACACATGCCCTATCCCTAAACTATTTAGATACACAATTATATAATATGTTGGACACACTATAATATTTTATATAACAATTGCAGCAAGGTCACAGCGCATTACATCTGGCCTGTCAACAGGGCCACAATCAAAGCTGTCGTATACTACTCATCAGTGGCTGCAAACCAGACATCAAGAATAATGTAAGTATTATTTCACATCATTTATATGCCATTAATGTTATTATTATTGCGATTATTATTATCATTGGGTTTTGCAGTTTGTGTGCGAAAAACTTTATTTTTGTTTTGTTGTACGAGTTTATTATGTATACCTCGTTATACAGTAGTTGTTTGTACATTATTGAGTGCCCAGCGCTAGGGTTAGCGTGACTTATAATATGGCAATCAATTGAGTGGTGGATTAGTCTGTATTTTTCTTTGGCCACTATTTTACCGGTGAGGAAGTGCTGAACAAATGATTTATAATTACTTCATCTGTATTATAGGTATATAATTAATTGCAAATACTATTCATGCGAATGAATGATGAGATTGCGAGAGAGAGAG